CAAGATTTGGTATATTAGTATATGACATAAATTAGGATTGATTGGCATATTCAACTGTTTAGTGTGTGTAAAAAGTGTGTACAACTTTTGATTTTTAAATCGCACCCCTGGTATTTTTTTTAATTTATTGGAAAAATAGATTTGATCGTTTAATGTTTTTCGTGTCTTGTCCTGGCCAGTTAAAAATGCCCAAATCGTATTTTTAATCATATCTCGATTTTTCAAACGGAACGAGGCCGACTCATTAGCATATTTGGAATTTTTTTTTGGAATTTTTTCTTCTTTGGATTATATTGATTCTTTTTCAACTTGGTATTTCGAATCAAATTGTCGTTATGAACCGCATTTTACAATTTCAAATAAACTAAATGCGAATATGTCATCTGATATTTCATTCTATTCAAAGTGCCATTTTCTATCAAATAAAGTAAAAAAATACGGAGGGTGGCATTTAAAAATCAAAAGTTGTAGTAATTTCCGGTAAAAGAGGACGTGATCGAAAACAATTGAATACGTCAATCAATCTTGATTTATGTCATATACTCACGTACCAAATCTCGTTTTTTTATCTGAAAAATTAAAAAAAGTTATAGCAGTGAGCCACTTTTTAGAAACACCCGGTATAGACGGTCAAAATTGCTTGGTAATAGGGTCGAAACTAAATATAATGTTATTTTCCCTGCTAATTGAAATGACACACCCTATAGTTTATAAAAAAATAGAGAATTTGTCATTATAATTAGACTTTGTGAAAATGTGTGTGAAAATTTGCGAAAATGTAGGTGTTCTATGTAAGTATCCTAGTCCCGTATAATCGAAAAAAAAACAGAAATTATGATCGATGACATTCCTCATATAATTTTACATATAAAATTTAATCGATTGTCATTTCTAAGGTAATTTGAGGCCATTTCTTAGGATCATATGGGATGTGTGTATTTATCATTAACCTTTCTATTTTCTATTTTTTAATAAAGATTTTTTTAACTTAATTATTTTTTTATTATATATAATATAAGGGCGGCAATTTAAAAATTTGCACCGGGCGGCCCAAAGTCTAGCGACGGCCCTGGTGGCGACTATACATTCCATTGGTGCCACTATATCGTTCCGCCTTGTCCTTTGAACTTCCTTTGAAATTCTTGAAGAGGAGGTTTCGTTGGCCCACAGTAGATAGCAACAACCATCGGTTTTTCTTGTGGGAATTCTTGCACTCTTAGTAATATTGGCCAAAACTCTAGAGGCGAGCTATTGAAAGGAGGCAATCCATCAATATTAAAAATAAGGGATACTGATTTCGTATATCTTTCTTTAGACATTTGTAAAAGGGACAATACATTTTTTTGCACTTCATTATACCAAAACTGGCCATCGCCCATGGCTCTTATGGGACAAGAGCTTGGTGTTCCAATTAAAGTTCTACTATCCCTTGGCAATTCTTCAAGTTCGAGTTCGTTTTTCAGTACCCTCAATAAATCGTTCAGAGCTACATGAGGTATAGAGTATTTTAACGCCCACTCTTTTAGCTCTTGTTTTATATTGTTGTTGGTTTCCAAATTAGTTCTCCTCTGAGATTCAGTTTCAGATAAACTAACACTACACTCATCTTCAGAAGCAGTTTCAAAAATATCACAGTCACTACCTGATTTATGATGTTCATCGGTAGGATTATAGAAAGATGTAGTTTTTGTTTCTGATGTTGATGCTTCGGCTCGCAGTGATTCCTTTTGTTTAATTCTTCGGTAGAAAGTACTAGAATACCTAAATTTCTTTTTATTCACCTTAGGCATTTTACAAAATTTTAATAAAGCTTAAAAGCTAGTAAACAAACACTAAAACAGAGCAGTACACGATGCAGTCTGAGGCATGTACATTTATTAGGGTATATTAAGTTATAGTCACTATAAAGTAGCCGTTTTTGATCCCCGTGACTTTTTAGTGGCAATGGATGAGCGACGGCTACTTTATAGTGACCTAGGAAGGTAGCAGTAACCATTTTGCTACTTTCAATGCTACTATAAATTAGAAGTAACTAGGTGTCGTGGCCGCGACTACCCCGTAACTTAAATTGTTACTATAAAGTAACAAAAACTTAATGGAGGCATTATGGTAGCACTTGTTAGTAACCGCTACTTTGAAAAGTTACTATAAAGTTTTTGGTCTTTTATGGTGTCATATTTGAAGATTCGGGTAGTTCCAGCCACTTCTTTAAATTACATGTTTGCGACTTGCAATCGGGGGTGTTTATTTTCCACTTTTATTGTAGGTAGGCACTAACCGGTCACTCTCGAAATATACTTCAAAGTGACTATCCCTTATAGAGTAACATTTTAAGTGGCAGAGTGGGCCCAGGAACTATACTTTAGGGGCAGTGACATTTTAAAAAGGACTGGGAACTATATTTGCTAGTTGGGAATAGTTTGGGAAGAGACAGACCTACAGAGGAGAAAATAGTACCTTTGGAAGACGCTATAGTTTTTCAATGATTCTCGATGAATAATTCTTTTTATTTGGTACTTATAGGAATATGTTTACCAATAATGCGATCCTCAAGTAAAAACTAAATATAATGTAAAACTTTATAAGAGCAACCCGTATCACATAAGTATGTGATAATATATCACATAAGTATGTGATATACAGGGTGAGTCTTAAATAAGTGCAAATATTTTCAGGGGTGGGGGGTGGTATATTTTGACCCCAGGAACACGTAGGTATAAGAGGTTTTTTTTCGCTAAAAAAATGTTGAAAATCGTGAATTTTCTTTTAAATTTCCCTGTATATTTTTCGAAAACTTTTTAGAACTGCCTGTTCACCGCAAATTTATCCACGGTATAATTTTTTAATCTCTGATATTACCATAGTTACGGCTTTACTCTATGGTTACGGCAATAAAAGAGATGCAAATACAGAAAAAATCCGGTGGCTCTCAAAGTTTTTTCAAAAAAATCAATTTTTTTTAAATTTTCAAACTTAAATAACTCGGTTATTTTGGACTTATCTGAAAAATGGTAAAGAGAAAATATGGTTCTTTTATCGAGATCTATCAGCTCTAAAAATATATTGCTTATTTAAGACTCACCCTGTATAAGCCTTAAATAAGTGCAAATATTTTCAGGGCTGGGAGATCTCAATAAAAGAAACATATTTTCTCTTTACCGTTTTTCAAATAGTCCAAAATAATCGAGTTATTCAAGTTTGAAGATTTAAAAAAAATATTTGTTTTTAAAAAATGTTGAGAGCCACTGGATTTGCATTTTGCATCCCTTTGGTACCGTAAACATGGTAATATCGGAGATTAACAAATTTATATTAATTACCGTGGAAAAATTTGCGGTGAACAGGCAGTTCTAAAACTTTTTTTAAAATATACAGTAAAATGCAAAAGAAAGTGGCACGATTTTCTACATCCTTTTTATTCGAAAAAAATCTCATAGACGTTTTCCTGGGGTCGAAATACCTATATTAGGTACCTCTGAAAATATTTTCCCTTACTTAAGACTCAAACTCTCACACCAGAGCTCACACTGTGTATCTACTTATTACATTTTCTAAACTTGTCGATAGATGGAGTATTATGTAATATATCTGGCTACCAGTGGCGCAATTAGGGGGCTAAGCCGCCTCGGATAACTAGTGTGGGCCGTTTAAAATTGGTTTTAACCTCAAATCAATAATATTATTTTATAGTGATCTAAGCCCTCCTAAAAGTCTTTGTCTAGTTGCGCCACTGCTGGCTACTATCGTGACGTCAAAAATCGTTGTCTCTGGCGTCTATCTGAAAGTCGCGGACATAGAAGACACAGAAGATGGAATTGATATTGCCATTAATATTAATATGCCATAGAATTTTTTTTAACAAATTTGATTTCATGATTGAGAAATGTAGGTACTAATAAGTGTAACACATTTTCTTATCTCTATTTTATTTGGATATTCACACGTAAAAACTCTTATCGGTAAACAGACCTAAGATTACGTATATGACGTAACGCGATACAGCCTATCCGGCCATGCTAAGAGACGAAAAAGGCGGGGCCTGGACCAGATTCTGCAGCATCTGCGCTACTGGTCCGGAACGACAGCAAATGAAACGCAGCCACTTCTCGACCAATCGAGTTTGAGACCCTTAATGATGCTGACATCGAGAGCGAGTGTAGAACCGGTCTTATTCTTCCCACGCAACTTTGTACGCCAGCCGCAACTGATTTAACTGCAGTTTTATCTCATGTTTCACGTAACCAGCACATTTTTACTTTGTATTAATTTTTCATATAATCAATCTTACTTTTTAGACAGTTAAATTAAAATAATTTACTAACATAATTTGAATATATTTAGGATTTAGATGTGTTCGTTCAGGGGCAGATACAGAAATTTATTTTAGGGGGGGGGCAAATAAAAAGTAATGTAGAATATGCTTTTTAATGCGCTATTTTTAACGTAAAAGGCTAATATTTAACCAAATTTATAGATTTTAGGGGGGGCCCGGGCCCCATGCCCCCCCCCCTTGTATCCGCCACTGTGTTCATTTATTGAGATTCTGCTTATTCCCATATTTTTAAATATTCAAAATGAAAAGTTCTATGTTCTATACATTACATATTGATGATTACAATAAAAATCTAACTCATTAGATTAGCTAATATAATAATTGACAAAATTTACAATACAGACTTCCGGATATTAGTGAACTTAAATAATTTAGTAGTTAATAGTGCGTATTAACAAAAAAATTTAATAAAGATTTACAATACACATTATATTCAAATAAGAAATCTCTCAATTTGAAAATTTTAAAATTTGTTTTATGTGGCTCCATCTTTGTTTGAGGGGTATATTAGATGTATAAAAATTGAATATTAGATGTACAGAAACCTGTAATGGTGTATATGCTTAATGACTATTCAAAACTACTTTCTTTCTTCTGCATTTATCCATATATATGATTTACGGATGTCATAGATAAAGAATATATATGACGAATATGATTATATGATATAAACAGAATTTTCTAACCTCGTTCTTTTTGATATGTTTTTGAATTTTTAACTCTATGTTTTTGATGCACACTTTTAGTTTTTAGATTATTTTATGGTTTTTAGTTGTTTTTAGTACACACTTATTTTATAAAATGGATAGAAAAATGTTGAAAAATACTGCTGAAAGACTAAACATTTACGATGAAACAGTAATAAAGTAAAAAACTCTAAACTTAAGTTAGCAAATCGCTTAAAGACGTTTTAATTTCTCTGAACATTTTAGCAAAGCCGAAGAATATCTCCGAATATATCATGGGAAAGGTGGCATTAAAACACTTAATGATCAAGCTAAAACAGTACTATGTTTTGATTTAGCTTCGACTTTTTTGGGTAAAGTTTTTGATAAGGAAGCAGCATTACCCTTGTCCGGATTGAAGAAGTCTCAGTATTTAAATAATTTAAACACCGTTGAAAAGTTGTTAGATCTAAAAAAGGATATAAAAATATCAGATTTATGTGTTCAGTTAGGTTGTACGGCAATTAAAGATGATGCAGAGGAAATTCTGAATAAATATAAACAATTAGATAAGAAGATAAAGGATTTTGAACATCCACAGTATATGGCAGCCGCTGTATATATAGCTTGCAAGTAGGTGTACAATATGTTTGTGGTTATTTAGTTATTTAAATATTTCTAGAGCCAAGAAAGTATCAATAGAGAAAAGTCATATTATTTCAATTAGCCGTTTAAAACCATCTCAATGGAAAGAATTGGTTAGTGAATTTGAACAGTTAGGTTTAACAAAGGCCAATATGAAATCTGTATCAAAGGGACATATTGAAGAAGACATTCAGAATACAGGTAATTCATATTAATTGTTAACAAAGTAGACATAGTTTCTAATATATGAAAAATTTTAGAACAGTATCACACATCAAAGACTGAACAAACAGAAGAATATGAAGAGTATGAAGTATGGAAAAAAAGAATATTAGAAAAAGCCTATGCTGCTTTAGAAAAGGAAAAAGAAGCAACACTTATGCAAGAATAAAAACAAAAACGCAGGTTTGTTTGTACAAAATATATTAATTTCATAAGTCATAAAACATAAAGGTAAAATGATAAATAATCTTAAAATATAATTACTTAGACTTAACAAAGTGAGTAAATAAAGATGTGTATAAAATATTACTTAAACCGAATCTTTCCTTGGAATGATACCAATTGGTGTATCAACACCACAGTCTTCATAGTCCAGTCTTCTTAAAATCCAGTCTAAAACTCTGGAATTCTCTCCAAAACCTGGCCAGAGGAATTTTCCTTCTGTGCCTTTCCTAAACCAGTTTACGTGGAAAATTTTCGGAAGATTTGACGAACGAGTTTCCATAGAAAGCCAATGTTTTAAATAGTGGCCAAAGTTGTATCCAAAAAAGGGTCGCATTGCAAAGGGATCGTGCATTATTACTTTACCCTATAATCACATTTTTTTTATAAAATACTAAAAGAATGGAGCTTATTTAATACCTTGTGTTCTGCTGCAGCAGTTGATTCAGATCTCATAGCAGCACCAATGAATACCCCATGTTGCCAGTCTCGAGCTTCATAAACTAAAGGCACTCCAACTGGCCTTCTTCCTCCAAATAAGATGGCGGAAATTGGGACACCTTCAGGAGCTTCCCATTCTGGGTCAATAATAGGACACTGACTTGCTGGAGTACAGAACCTTAAATTTAATAATTATATTATTAATATACAGGGTGGTCCAAACTGTATTCTTAAAACATTGGAAGCATATTCTGCATATAAAAATAAGAAGAAAGTTCTTATAAATGTATGTCCTAAAATGCTTAGTTTCGGAGTTACAGGGTGTAGAAGTTTTCATTTTTATTTCGATTTTTTCCAAATAATTTCTGAAGTAACGTCAATATTTAGTTGAAAATTGGTGTCTGGGAGTTATTTGACATGAAAATTTTGATTTTTATATCAATATGACTCTTATTTGTAAGGGGCGCCACCTACTTGTGTTTTTACTGTTTTGAAAGGTAATAACTTTTCGTTCGTACCTGTATAAAACTACTGGGTGAAAAAATATACATTTCCGTGATTTTTTACGTAAAAAATGTCTCTTGGTAAAATCGCTACGAGCAACCATTATTATAGAATGGAAATAGTCAATACATGTCATTATTGACATAAAATGAACATGTTGAGTGAATAGTTATTTGACTGAAATGACAATTTGGGAACTTTTTATTTTTCATTCAGTTTAATTTTTTCAGTTTAATGACTATTTAGTCAATTTTGATTCCTAACATCTCGATATTACTTGTAGCGATTTTTACCAAAATACCTTTTTTACGTAAAAAACGTCGTAAATGTATTTTTTTTACTCAGTAGTTTATCCAGGTACGGACGCAAAAGTTATTATTTTTTAAACCAGTTAAAAAATATGTAAGTGGCGCCCTCTCCAACTAGAAGTCATATTAACATCAAAATCAAATTTCTCATGTCAAAAAACTCCCAGACACCAATTTTCATTCAAATACGTTACCTCAGAAATTACTTGGAAAAAAATCGAAATATAAATGAAACTTCTACCCTGTATCTCTAAAACTAAACATTTTAGGACATATCTACATTTATTCAAACTTTTTTTACTTATTTTTATCTGTAGAATATGCTGCCGAATACAGTTCGGACCACCCTGTATATTATTAATATTAATATTAATTAATAAATATTATTTTTTAGAGGAAAATACCACAATCTCTCCAAAACATTATTTAACATCTTGATACACGTTGGGCAAACATATTGTGTATAGTGTTAATCATCTACTGATGATGGTAACATAATTTGCAACAGATACATTCAGATTTGTACCTTGAATTTGGATGAGCAGCCGGAGTAGAACTATCTTTGGTCCATTTTTGACCTTTCCAATCAGTAATTGCCACTCCTGGTTGTATCTCATCTTCCATGCCTTCCCAGAACACACCACCATCACTTGTTGACGCTACGTTAGTGAATATAGTGTTTTTATACACTGTGTTCATTGCTATAGGATTACTTTTTGTTGATGTTCCTATAAGTTATTTAAATTATTTTATTAATACCCTTTTAATACTCAAAAATGCCACAAAACTGATTTTTTTACCTGGTGCAACTCCAAAGAACCCATTCTCAGGATTAATAGCTCTTAGTTGTCCATTTTTATCAAATCGCATCCACGCAATATCGTCACCGACACATTCTACTTTGTATCCAGGCAGGCTTGGAGTCATCATGGCTAAATTTGTTTTTCCACAGGCTGATGGGAAAGCAGCAGCAATATACTTCTTTTCACCTTGGGGGTTTGTGATTCCCAAAATCTTGAAGTATAAATACAAATTAAAAATCAAATTGGCGTATTATATAGGAAGCTATTTTTACCAGCATGTGTTCAGCTAACCATCCCTCCCTTTTGGCAATAGTTGACCCAATCCTCAAAGCAAAACATTTTTTGCCTAGTAGCGAATTTCCTCCATATCCACTGCCGTAAGAGACAATTTCGTTGTTTTGAGGTTTGTGCAGGATAATGGTTCTCTCTGGATCACAAGGCCAGCTGGGATTCTCGATAAATCCACTGGCTGGAGCACCCACAGAGTGAAGACACTTCACAAAATCATCTTTTTGAAGTTTTTGTAAAACTGGAGCACTAAAAAATAATATATTGATAAGAAAATCATAAAGACTTCCAAAAAAACTGTTGTTTACCCCATTCTTGTCATGATCCTCATAGAAGCAACAACATACGGCGAATCAGTCAATTCAATTCCAATCTTTGATAAAGGAGAAGTGATTGGACCCATAGAAAAAGGTACAATGTACATAGTACGACCTCTCATACAACCTGGAATGGTCACAACATTATATCTTATTGTTTTACTTATTAACCCCTGTAAAATTTTACCTATAAATCTTTCCTTAATTGCTTCGTCCATTTGCTTCGGCGACATCCAGTTTCCAAGGGTGCCTTTGATTCCATTTTTTGGAGTTGGAATAGTTTCTGAGCGTTCGTCAGTACAAATGAAGGTTTTTGATTCAACTCGTGCAGTGTCAGCAGGATTGGTACGTGCCAACCAACTGAAAATAGAAAATGTTTTTTCTTGTATATGTTTTTGGAAACGCCTAAGGGTATGGTGGAATATTTAATGCATTCTTAAATAGTTTCAGGAATCAAAATCGACATTCATTGTGATTTGTCTTTTAAAAATACTTGAATAAACCTTTTTGAAGTGAAACTTCTTTACACGCGCTGGGAGTAAAAATTCAAGGCTGTAACACACGAGTTACAGAGATAACACGCGAGTGGTAACGATCGAGAAAGTGGTAAGCCAATGAGGAAGCTGAGATGGGTCTTTGGAGCATCGTAACTAGGGCCCTGTGTGAACTAGAGGGCTGAAACTCGGCATGTCGAGCCCCATCTTTTCATGATATTTTGACGACGTTTCGTGCACTATGCAACTTCATCATCAATGGCGTAAAAATCGTCCGATTTAAATAATATTTGATATATCGATAGATTGGATCAAAGCCAACTTGACGGTGTACGACACGTGTCACTGTGACAGTTAGTTTTGAAGTAAGAAACGTCAAAAGTTGATGTCGTCCGATTGCGACCAAATTTGGTGGGTAGCCTATGTGAGCGACGGTGCACACGGTCCCACCCTGCAAAGTTGGATACGACGTTTCGTTTACATCTTCATCAGGCTGTGACTAAGGATTTGATATTGAAGAAAAATGTGGGTCGATTTCGGCATAATTGGGGACGGACTATGGGATGACACCTTCGACGCTTCGAAAAGAGTGCCTCTAAATGGACGAAATCATCAAGATTTTCATAATTATGGGTCGATTGGAACTAAACTCGGCACGTGGATAGAGGTGCTCGAATGGAGTCCTCAGATGGACAGACGGAAGTAAGAGAAAGTTTCATTTCAAATATGCACACATAGTGCAGACACAATTTTTTTATTGATATTTATTTGTTATAAACGTACCAATTTTGATACTTAGGTAACGGAACAATGGTTCCCTGCTGTTGCATGAGTTGAATGAGCTGGTTATTTTCCTTTTCTGTTCCATCGCAAATATGTATCCTTTCCGGATGGCATAAGTCAATATTTTGTTCCACGAACGATTTTATCTGTAATCAGTAAAAAAATCACCATTATCGTATGTAAATTGCAAAGACGAAAGGAAAACAAAATCAGGTAGGTACATTAGGTATCAAAAATAAGTGCTCACAATAGACGTTAAAATATATAGATCTTCATTCAATTTAGGTATGATGGTGACTATAGTGATAGATATGATGGTTCTTTTTAGTGAATCAAATCAGACGATTTAATTTCTCATATTGTATTGTCTCCTACGATTCGTTCACTTGAAAATTATATACATATTTTACTTAACACACAATAAACAGGTGTTTTTTGTAAATAACTTTCTTATCGGTTGCATTTTATGCCCGTGATGTTTGTTTAGTGCTTTTGTTCCAGTTCAAATATTTTTGACCTACTATAATATATCAATAACATAATTATGAAGACGACGTTAAAGTATAATTTGTTGTATTACTAATATAATATAAAACTAGTACCGAATGTTCGAATAAAAACGCTGTCATTTTATATGTAAAATTATATGGGAAATGTCATTGATCGTCATTTCCAGGCCAACTGGACGCCGTTTTTTTTTCGATCATACGGTATAATAACAGAACATAAAGTATTAATACATACAGGGTCCGGCAATAGTGCGTCGGGCATCTTTAGCTCCTATAATAAAAACCATAGGAATTTTGTTTAAGTACAGACCTAAAGTATGTATTAGGATGTATTTCAAGAAAATCATTTAATCTTTACAGGGTGGCTCAAAAAAGTGTGAGTGGATCGGGATTATTTCTTGATTACATTTTTGGCCTCTTTTCTGATGACTTTACGTAATCCTAAAATAGTATTTATTATAGGATTATGTAAAGCCATAATTATTTTTTGATAGTTAGAGACATTAATAAATAAATGAAAAAAATGTTTTTTTTTCAGTCTTTTGTAAAAAAAAATATTAAAAATAAAAAAAAGTCCTGAAATCAAAATTATACTAGATATTTAGTATTTACTATAGATGGTCTGTACTTTCCTATAAATATCGTAATCTTAAACCATACAGGCTGTTCAAAATTCTATTCCAAACGGCCTAAAATATAAAATAGTTTTTCTCCTTTTTTTTAAATGGAACACTCTGTATATTATTCCTTTGTTAGATGGGGAATTAAAAAACGAGCATTATTTTATATTTAAAGTATTGCAAAATTTTTATCGGTTTTGCGGATATTCGTAATATTATACCGTATGATCGGAAAAATGATCGAAAAAACGGTGTCTAGTTGGCTTGGAAATGAACATCGATGACACACATTTCTCATATAATTTTACATATAAAATAACAGCGATCTTCATTTCATAGCCATTGCTGATGCCTTTTTTCGATCATGCGGTATTAGATATGGGTTTTTCAAGAGTAATTTTTTTTATCAGATTTTTGTCTGATATTTTATCGTTGAAATAACCATATGTAATAAACAAGCGAATATTTGCGAAACCGCTAAAATTTTTAAAAAGACTTTAAATACAAATAAAAGTTAATTTTCTAAATCTTTATCTAACAAAGATTAAAAAAATAATATACACGGTGTTAATAAATATACACGGTGTTTCTTTAAAAAAAACGAAGAAAAATTATTTGACATTTTATAAAGTTGGGCATAAAATTTTGAACACTTTGTATGGTTTAAGATTACGACATTTATAGGAAAACCAAGTATAGACCAGCTATAATAAATACCTAGTATAGTTTTCGTTTCAAGATATTTCTTGTATTTTTAATATTTCTTTTTGAAAAACACTGATAAACTTTTTTTTATTTATTAAAATTTCTGAAACTATCAAAACATATTTAATAATATCTTAAGATTATGTAATGTGATCAGAAAGTCAAAAATGCAATAATATACAGGGTGTACATTTTAAAAAAATCATCTCGGTCCACTCATTTTTTACCCACCATGTAGACATTAAAATATTTTTTCCTAAAATACATCCTAATACAAACTTGGGGGTTTTTACTTATACAAAATTATAAATTACTATAGGAGCGACAGCACTATTGCCGAATGTCCGACGCACAATTGCCGAATCCTGTATGAATTATTAAAATAATAATTGATGAGTGGAAATACCAAAGGGGGTAAGTGCCAAAATTATTTTTTCGAGATAAATAAGAAAAATACAGTAGAACTGAAACTAATACATTTTTAAAATATCTTTTAAAATACATATAATATACATATAAAATAGACGCTTTCGCTTGGCACTGGTAACTTTTGTTAGGACATGCAGCATAGTATTTATTACGTTTCTAATTTAATAACTTAATATTGAAAAATTTGGCACTTAAGCTTGATTTTCATGCATCCGTTGTCCGACGATACGTTGATACGATATTAATTTTATGGGTAGAATTTAAACACTTTGATTGGTTAGAAAATAACGCAGTTTTTAAATTTATTGCATTTTCATGCCTCCGTTTATCGGATATTGGTGTTATTTTATATTTTCGTTTCCATAACGATTTTGCTATTTTACTTATATTTTTATTAAGGTTAGATTAAATTTGTCAAAAAAATGTCAAAACGTCCGTTATCGTATGAACGGGTCCGTTGACGGGCTGAAGTAAAATATTTACGGATAAAAAGTGGCGCGAAAACGCTATGACCAATCAGAGCACTGTCGGACCATCGCATCGTATCAACGTATAACGGATGCATGAAAATCAAGCTTTACTCCCTTTGGTATTTCCACTCTTCAATTACTGATCTTACAATATCTAATCAAGCAACACTAACTAATTCTAATGCTCAGTATTTGGGAATAAAGTATACATACTATTTGTTCAGCAATTAATGATATGGAAATTGTAATTCAAGTAATAATTCAATGATTTTATACCTAATTACGTAAAAATACGCAGTGAGTAATTTTTGGCAGGCGCTACGTTATGGACTCACTGTTAATTTCAACGGACCGGTATTTAAGTGCAAGACGATTTTATTTTTTTTTAATTCTCATGATTCATTTTCACGACTTATTTATATTTTATGGTTTAATTATGTTAGATATAATTTATTATAATATACACGACAGAGTTAAAATAATCTTTGCTAGAGTGATATTTAAAAAAATAAAAACATGAATATTATGTATTTTATTTTCCGTGTGCTATCTATTATTTTTAATATCTATGGTTGTCGCGGATATCTCCTGAACATATTCCAAAATCAACAGTGGTCGGCCTTGATATTTTGATTGTAGTTTTAGTATATCATTTCGGTTTTTGTAGACTTTGTTTCGTCTGATTTTATTGGAGACATTTGACGAAAAAGTTACTTTAATAATTGCTTGATACAAGAAAGATTTGAAGACAAAGAAAGAAAAAATATTCGCTTACCTTGGGAGACAAATCTCTGATATTTCCACTAACCACGCTAATGCCTCTAAGCTGCTGATAAAATCCTACGTTTGGAGTCCAATTTTTTCCATTTTTTGTAATTTCATTGGATAATCTATATAGGAGACAAAAGAAAATATATATTTTTTTATTATTGCATCATGCAATTGTTAGTTTGTATTTTATTTCATTTATCTGTTTCATAAATGTTTTTGCCATATCCGCTAATAAAATTGAGTTATTGCATTATTATATCTGTAAAATATCAATTCATTGCATCATTTCAATACATTTTAATTTTATTATACTTTTAGCGTTGTCACAGGAAAATATGAATAAAAATATTTATATGTTTGATTTAAAGTGTGTCAATCAATTCAAATAAATATATATTTTTTTATTAATAATTAAAATAATTGGTATTTACAAGAAAGCTTTTAATTAGGACATTTTTGTTTCTAGCGGAATGTTATCAAACTGTTTATTGTTGGTAAATACATATTTACAAATTTTTAATATATTTATTATGGATTATTTGATATGGCATTTCACTTCGTTTTAAGTCTTAAATTAATTATACGCTCGCTGGCATGAAAAACGGGCACCTTAAAATTTTGATGTTCTTTAAAGTTTAATATACAGGGTGGTCCGAACTGTATTCCGGAAACCTAGGCAGCATATTCTGCAGATAAAAGTAAGTAAAAAAGTTCGTATCAATGTATGTCCTAAAATGCTTAGTTTCGGAGATACAGGGTGGAGAAGTTTCATTTTTATTTCGATTTTTTTCAAATAATTTCTGCAGTAACGCCAATATTTGGATGACAATTGGTCTCTGGGAGTTTCTTGATATGAGAAATTTGATTTTGATGTCAATATGACTCCTACTAGTAGAGGGCGCCACCTACATATTTTTTAACTGGTTTGAAGAGCAACAACTTTTCGTCCGTACCTGTGTAAAATTACTGAGTAAAAAAATATACATTTACGACGTTTTTTACGTAAAAAATGTCTCTTAGTAAAAATCGCTACGAGTATTGGTTTTCGAGATATCTGGAATCGAAATTATCAATACCTGTCATCATTGACATAAATTAAACATGTTGACTAAATAGTTATTAGACTGACATCGTAAATTTGTGCCAAAAGTTCAACAGAAACCGTTTTATCATCATTTTTTTGCAGAAAAATTTGATTAATTTAAAAAAATAAAAATTTCCTAAATTTATTATTTCAGTGAAATAACTATCGACTCAACGTATTTTTCGTCAATAATGACATGTATTAACTATTTCTGTTCTAAATATCTTGAGAACGGTTGCTCGTAGCGATTTTTACGAAGAGATATTTTTTACGTAAAAAGTCACAGAGATGTATATTTTTTCCTTCGGTAGTTTTATACAGGCACGGACAAAAAGTTATTACGCTTTAAAACAGTTAAAACACATGTCAAATTTTTCATATCAAAAAACTTCTAGACACCAACTTTCATCCAAATATTGGCGTTGCTTCAGAAATTATTTAGAAAAAATCGAAATAAAAATGAAACTGCTACATCCTGTATCTCCGAAACTAAGCATTTTAGGACATACATTTATACGAACTTTTTTACTTATTTTTATCTGCAGAATATGCTGCCGAAGTTTCCGGAATACAATTCGGACCACCCTGTATTTTGTTCTAGTGGGCCGATTTTGATGATTTTTTAAGCAATTTGTAGCTAAATTATTTGACTTTTAGTATTTCGTTCTACAATAAAAATAAAAGTTCCCATCTGTTAATTATACGATGGAAAAAATATTGATATTTTGGTGAAAATTTAAAATAGCCTGTGGAATATGTTAAAAAAGCAAGGAATTCAAAAATTATTTTATCATCAGGGCTGTGTGGTGGTTAATCTGGTTAATTTTGATCTTTACCATCTTGAATTAAAGCAACCTATAGAGGATATAATACAACTTCTGGACTAAAACATGACTAAAAACCCTCTCTACTAGAGTTATTATGCAACAGTAAATCATATTATTTTCCAATGACAGTGACATTCCATAAATCATAAACACTATTTCACAGGTCTGTTGACTATGAGAAAAAGCAAAGGCATTGTTTTAATGAAAAAAAAAATACGAAAATATGTTAGTGTCTTCTTCAAAAGCCCGAATTAAAAAAATAACAAAAATAAAGCTATTGAGATGAACCAAAAACAAAATATCGAGATAAGATGCACCTAGATGATAAAAAGATTTTTAATTTGTTGCTTTCTTAACGTATTCTACAGGGTGTCTCAAACATTCAAAATGTCAACATTTTGTTTTTCGTTTAGTTGACAGATGGGAACCTTTTTTTTAATTTAGAATTATATTTTTATTTTAGAAACTAAAAATTGAAATAATTTCCCTACAAATTGCTTAAAAAATCATCAAAATCGGTACACTAGAGCAGAATATACAGGGTTGTTCTCCACATACGATACGGAGTATTGTAGCTAAACGATTAGATTTTTGCAAATTATTATAAGTTTTGGGTTCGTTGAAGGACTACTAGAGCTACAATTTGAAAATATTTTTAAAAGATACAAGAGTGTCCCAAATAAATAAAAAATATCAAAGCTATATATTTTTTTTTAAACGGGACACCCTGTATATTACTACATTTTTAGTTTCTACAATTAAAATATAGGTAAATTTGATTAAGGCTTACCGCATTTTAATCTTACCCTTATTGAAATATTTAATGTATATTAAGTGTGCAATTAATTAATATTTGGGCGGTAATAATGTTATTTAACTAATGGTATACTCTTTTATAAATATTTAAATTGTTTTCTTTTTGTATACAAATTGGCTAATTATATTATCGTTTTTAGCATTAGTACATTATTTGCTGCTTTAAAAACAATCTAAAATATCAATATTCCATGGGTATATTGATAAATGAAGTCTAAATTATAAGAAAAAGCATTTTCTACGAAAACTTGAAGGGATAGGTAAAAAAATACAGCTTGATAGACAATTAAATTCTGTATCTGAATCTCCTAAAATATACAGAGTGTTCCATTTAAATTAAATAAGTTATTGCCGTTTAAAGCTAGAAATTATTTAAAATAAATTTTTAGACACTCTGCATGAGGTAGTATAATTTTTATTATTGCAACACATTAACTGATCAATAAATAAACTTCAGTAAATGTTTAGTATTTATTAACTTTGATACCATTGGAGAAATGAAGCCTTAAAATTTTTACTACAATTTCACAAAATTGAAAATATTTCAATAACGGTAAGGTTTAAGTGCGATAAACCCTAATCAAATTTACCTTTATTTTAATCGTAGAAACTAAAAATGTAATAATATACAGCGTGTTCCATTTAAAAAAATACAACTTTGATATTTTTTATCTATTTGGGACAGCCTGTATCTTGTAAAAATATTTTTAAATTGTAGCTCTAACAATCCTACAACGAATCCAAAACTTATAATTTGTAAAAATCTAATCGTTAATCTACACTACTCCGTGTCGTATGTGGTGAACAACCCTGTATAAATTTTAAAATACATTAAAATTTGAAGGTGGCCGTTTTTCGCGTCGGTGAGTGTATAAACTTAGAATTTTAGTTATAATAGTATATTTTGCTAAACTTCTAATAAACTATAATTTATATGGTATGATTTTTATAATAATATGGTTTATAACTCGTAGCACAGGACATTTTTAAAACACCAAAGAAAAAGTGAATTCTGTGGTGATAGTGTATTGACGGTATTGTGTAGAATATTAAATTGTGTAGAATATATTATGTAAATACTAAAGTAGTCAACGTTTCAAGTATTTTTCTTTAAAATTTAATCTTATAATTTCTTTTCATCATTAAAGAAACAATAAAATATGATATATGATTTTTGACCAAATCCAAAAAATACCCGCATAAGTTGCTATATGTTATATATTTACTATAAACACAAATTTGGAATAATATGACAACAAAAAATATATTTATACAAATTATAGGTAGGTAAATGTATGTTTTTGCATTTATTTGGCATTTTATTATTTTATTTGACTTATATCAACTTATGTTTTATTCATTTTTGTTTATAGTAATTTTATGTAAAATTATATTAATGGTTTTTTTAGTAGAAATTAAATGCACTTAAACGTATTTTTCTGATTGAAATTTAATTTTGATTGGAGGAATATTTATCACCATTTAACAATTTACATTATGAATAATATATCAGAGTACTCACTGCTCTATAAATATATTTTTTATGATTTTTTAACATACAAATTATGCTTTTATTAAAATAGGACGAAACCAGCTTAAACCTATTTTGCAACTATTAAATTTACAATTGCTTACATGTAGCCATTCGTTCCTGCTATGTCAGGCATCTTGAACTAACTTTTCTGGCAAGAAAATAATGAATATTATAAAAGAAACTCAATACAACCTACCGATTCAACGAGCTTTTTCTTTTAAGTATAACTTTTATGGTACATACAATAAAACCCGAAAATAAACTCAAGATGGAATTTATCTAACTTGGAAACGAAACAATTTTTCCGATGGAATTTTGGAATTAGTTTGATTCCCGCAAATTGAGCCAGATTTTCCGAGTATTTAACAAAGGAAAACGCGAACTACAATTGAAATAAACAGGGAAAACTATTATAATGCACCGTTACTATGAGAGTTGATGGGAGAATGAATACAGAAAGCAAAAACAGTGAATTTATATATCTAGCCAGGCAGGCGATTCCCTGTCTCGCTTGGTGACATATGTGGGTATTTTACGTATGGGCTTATACAAGTAAATAAACAGCAACAGTATAGTAATACAACGAGAGATAACAGTATAAAAGGGTAAAGTGTATTTTTTCCTAATTTGTTGACATTTTACTATTATGATTATGTGCCAAAAATAAATAAAAATATACGGATGAACAGGATGCTTTTTTCGGGTATTTCAGTGTACAAAGTACGTTTGGCAATTACGCTTGCGTTGTGTTATTTATTTCCAAGGATTTATCTGGCATAATCGAGATCCGAGGAAAGTTTTCTGGCTGTAATCTTCCACCAGTTGCAAATAAAGAATAAAGCTCATACTGAACCTTATGCACACATTAATGTCTCGCAAAACAATGGTTTAGTCTGATATTAATTGAGGAAATATACCTATAGTATTAAATGCACTGATTTTTATATTTATATTCGGTATGTGGTGAATGGTGAACCTGACATTGCACTTTTAACAATGTTTTAATTTGTATCTATAAGATTATTTTTATTAGATGAAACGAACGGCAATTATTTATTAGATTTTTCACAAATCGGCTACTGAGTTCTATTGAAGATCGTAACCAGCGGCGTAACGTGGCGTCAATACAAGGGGATGTAATAAGTAATGGCAATTAACATTTTACCAAAATTTTTTCTTTTTTTTATTAAAGTCTTTAATTTTGAAGTTACAAACATAAAATATACAAAAAATGTAACAGGTTAAAAAATAATCAAATCAATTTACAAAAATAACTAAATTTAGGTAAAAAAACAAAGCTGTGATCGTATCTGTTAAGGTGCGTCCACATTGCTCGCGATCCTGACATGGATGATACCGAAATATTTTTAATAGCTGCTGCTAGTGCGATCATTATTACAAAACGAAGGAGACAAAGAGAAAAAAGGCGGTGTTGGATATTTAATAATTTCAAAAGTCCAGCACAGTGAAAGTAAACATCTACGCGATTTACAAACAGAGAGAATTTTTTTTAATATTTTTTATCGCATGTCCGCTACTGATTTTGAAAGGCTTATTAACTCAGTTGGCCCCGTATAGAAAGAAAAATACAACCTTTAGGAAGTGTATTCCGGTTAAAGAAAGAGTTAAATAATGATAGGCCATAACATTAAGATTCCTTACATCTAGAGATTCACATACCAGTTTGGGATATTTATTCAAAGTTTCCAAGCTTTCAAAAATAATACCAGGCGTATGCCAAAATATAAATAAAGTTCTTAAAGATCAGATTAAGATAAGTAGGCAATATAAATATAGAGTTATATTTTATTAAAGGTATATTTAATATTATTAATCCAAGAACAACATAAATATTTGTAATTCTGAAAAAATAAAATAAGAAAAATAATGGTAGTATCATCATACTGCAGTAAATACCGAATCCTATGAATGAAACCAAACTAAAAACTTAACAAACAACGCAAACAGCTCGAGCGCCTCGAAACGCCGTAAATTATGCTCGCATGGCTCCGAAGCGTCTCTTTGATGTACCGCTACAGAGCCGAACAGTCGAAACAGGCATTTTATGAGGCACGTGGAGCACCGCGAGCGTCGGCGTCGCGAGCGCCGCGAATATCTCGCTCCGACTGTTTATCATGTTTCTCGTGTTTCACGTGTTCATTCGGCCTGCTCGCGAGCTATGTGGACGCACCTTTAGATAAAATAGTAGACCAGACCAACAAAAAAGTTTATTGAGTGTCTTACAAACACATAGCCAGTGTTCACACTTTTACACATTTTCACTAAAATGGCGAATACACGATTTTAATTTAGTATTAATATTCAAAATATGCTTTGGAGGTCTTTCTTCAATAGTTTTTAATTTTTCTGAATACACCATAGAACTGAAGGATAATTGCAAAATTAGGTATTTCTATTTTATAGCCGCATTCAGAATCGGCCATCGCGACGCGCGACGGTGTTTTTTATTTTATATCGCGAACGAGATGTGTTTAAAAAATCACATCACCCACCGACTATAACAGCGAACAGGAGACGTAATCGCGGTCGGAAAGTTGGCTCACAGGCGCGTTCGGCGGCGCGGCGTTCAAGATGTAACGAGGACAGTCGCATCATCGCGCTGTCGAGATATTTTTAGCGTTTAGCGTAGGTCTTAGCGTTATTTATAAAGCTCGACCAATACACACATTAAATAATTGAAATTGAATTTAATTATTTGAATAAATTTACTGAGAATTTTAATTTATTATAGGAAATCTCAGTGACTTTTTGAAATAAAAACGTATTACAAAATTTTGAAGGGATGCGACGCATCACCCGCATCAAAGGAAGCTTCGCCGCTGATCGTGACTGGTACTCTGACTGCTGACATGTGTATCAGAATAGGTATAATATGTGACACGCAAATATTCGAAAACAGTTGAGGTGACCAGTTGGTACTGAATAAGCTGTTATGGACGAATGATCTATGGTAGTTACGTATTAAATACAGGTAATTTGACTTTTGAATCTAGAGTTTGATAATTTTTGTACGGAGAATTTTACTCATGATATTTGATCATTACGAAATTGTTTGTTTATATTTTTTCAAAGAAAAATATTAAATAAGCGGAAAAACCTTGGAATATTCGATATCAGAAATATGAAATAATCTAGACTTTGATTTGTCCTCAACATAAAAAACTAAAAACTATTGTTTAGTCTCAAATTCATTTATATATTATACTAAATTTTTCAATTTTTTTCCTTATGATTAGTCCTTAACTTTTAAAAGTATTTTTTCTTATTTAAAATTATTTTTGCTGTAGATTAACAAAGACAGTTAGTTTAGATGTTTTATCTGAATTTTTGGTATTACATGGACCATGGACTTTACAAAATTATTGGAATTAAACTCATTAACTAGTATCTATAAGATGATACATTTGATATTTCAGACTTAGAGATAATAACAAAGGATTAACGACAGGTAATACAAAGAATTTGATAAAATCTGATTTATTTCAGTTTTGCAACGACGGTAATTTTAGTATTTTCCATTGAGAAATTAAATTTGAACCATGTAAATAATACGAAATTATTTTCTTTTTGAAATATGATTGATAACATAAAAAACCTTGAAATGTTGATATCAAGAAAGAGTATAAAATGTTGAGAAAGAACTGCTTCTACTTCCTTATAGCAACATATTTGGTGCAATATTCTGAAAAGGATACCTACTACTGCTTTTTTTGTAGATTATTGTTTTGAAATTTAACTGAAATAATGTCATTATAATCATCTAGATAATGTCTAAGTTGTAGTATTAGCACAAGTATTAGTTACCGCTATACCGGATGCATCTCGAACCTATAGTATTAACCCCCTATAACTTTTTTATTTTTTCAGATAAATAACGAGATTTGGTATGTTAGTATATGACATAAATTAAGATTGATTGACGTATTCAATTGTTTTTGGCCATTTCCTGTTTCACCGGAAATAACTGCAACTTTTGATTTTTAAATGGCACCCTCGGTATATTTCTACTTTATTCGATAGAAAATCACACTCTGAATAGAATGACATATATGTCAACTTTTGACATGTTCGTTTAAAAAAATCGTATTTTAAATTTCAATCTAGAGTGCCATAGCTGTGTTAAAACAGTAATTTTTAACCAAGGACCCTAGGAAAAATAATTTTGATTTTCTGTTTTTCGCGTGTTGCCCTGATCGGTTAAAAAATGTCCAAATCGTATTTTTAATCACATCTCAATTTTTTCAAATGGACAAGGGTGGGTTTGTGGCGTATTTAGAAGAAAACATTTTTACGAATAATTTGGTAGCACACACTTGGTATTTCGAGTCAAATTGTCGTTAAGAATCGCATGTTACAATTTTAAATAAACCATATGCGAAAAGTTGACATATAATATGTCATTCTATTCAGATTGTCATTTTGTATCGAATAAAGTAGACAGTTGTAGTCATTTCCGGTGAAACAGGAAATGACTACAACTGTACCTACCAAAATTAATAATAATAATACCAATTGAATACGTCAATCAATCTTAATTTATGTCCTATTATGTATTTATATACATACCAAATCTCGTTTTTTTATCTGCAAAAATAAAAAAGTTATAAGGATAAACCACTTTTGAGACGCAACCGGTATATACAGGGTGGGCCAATCGAAACTTTCCACAAAAATAAAAGGTGACGTACATAATGTATATCCTGTCGACTTAAAATCAAATATTATTCCACTGTAAAAGTAGGTATATCACTTATATTCCACCGTTTTAATTATTAAATAATTTATAGGTTTCGAAGTACAACATAAACATACTTATACAGTCATATTTCTGGTAATTAATTTCAATTAATTTTTTCTCTCTAATTACTTGTACCATCGTAATTTTATGGAAAAAACGAATACTAAATTTGGACTGCTTACTGCTTTGATGGATGATTTTCCCTCCATATTGGAAAAAAGTTTTATGTGACGAACTAGGTACTTGCACAATGCCCATTATTTTTTTAATATACCTTAATATATCACTTTGAATATATCTATTAATAAAAAAAAGAGTAAACAGTAAACAAAGATATTGTTTACTTAATCTAAATTAATTCTTGCTGGACTTTGTAAAGAATATTAGCATCCGCCTGATAATATTAAATTGTTTTAAACTATATTTAAATCGTTAACGATCGTTTACAAACGTTTATTCCGTTTCAAAATATCTTCCATCTAGTTTATTCCTAAATTTTTGGAGTATTTTGAGATGTTTGTTGATGACCTAATTATAAAATGTATTTATTTAGAATTCATTGAATACTAACATACTTAACCTTAACAGCTTAATATTCATCTGGTATTATTCTCGTAGGATATACTGGCCGAAAATATTTAGAAAATATTGTGGCGTAGTCCCCCGAAAAAAATGTAACAATATACAGGGTGAGTCTTAAATAAGTGC